GATAAAAAAGCTGCCAAATAATCCCATCCCAACTAAAGTCCTTGATTTACGTTGTTTGCTAGCAGAAGATTCCAATATTTTCAATAGAGGGGATATAAAAAAAACATCTATTTTTTATCTTATCCAAAAAAAGCCCATCAGAAGGCGAACCAAGAAATGGAAAAGGACAGACAAGTCCCTGAAATAAACAGCATCAATGAAAACGGGCCTGTGCCATGTACACCATAGGGCAGGGTGACCAGATGTTATGGTGGTCTGCCTATTTGATCTAAAATAATAATAAATATGTATAATCAGAAATTATGCAGTGCTTCCTACATGGGCAGAGAGGAAAAGATAACTTGGATGCAAAAAAAATGGAAAAAAAGAAAATATGGAAGAAAAATCTTGTAAATCAGAAAAAAAAAGAAATTACAGTAAGTACGAAATATTAAGTCAGTAAGTTACGTGATGACAGATGCTATTGTACATTGGCTATTTCACCCAGGTCCTGAAGAAGCATGAAAATGTACACATTGACCAAGTTGCATCTGGGATAATAGTGTTATTAATTGCTAATGTTTGGATTGGTGGCTTTAAATAACAGTTTTTTATTTATATACCAAGCATTTTTTAAAATAAGCGTCACACATAATGGTGTATGCATATCTTTGTGCAAATGAACTATATACTTTTGCATATATTTCTGCTTAATGGTATACATTTTGAGGATGACACTACACCAAGGAACAATTTATTTTTAAGTACCCTGTACCCTAATACATCATCTAGAAAAATTTAAGTGTATGTATATCCAATACTTTTTAGTTTTGGATAGGGTATGAGAGGGTTAAACTCCTGCCAGGTTGTTTTTTTTTTTTCTTACTGTTCATTCAGTTTTCCAGGTTGTATAACACTGGCTATCATTCCACCAGTAAGACAACCAAACCAACTTGAGATAAAAAGGAGTACTGCAGGGAATAGCTCCCAGCTATTTTTGTTTTCAAATCAAAAAGGCCATATAAAAATAATTACCCCCAAAATTATTTGCACTGCGTCTCTCTGTGAAGGTGGCAATTGTGTTAAAGGCAGGGCTTTTCTACTCCACCCAGTGACTGGTGATCTAATGGATAATGGTCAAAAGGGCAGCAGAACAAAGCACAAATCCACAAAACGACACAGAAGCAGGGAGATTCTAGCACTGAAGGTCTTCGAGTACAACTTCTTCTCCAGCAAGAACAATAAAGTGTTCACATTCTTTTACATCTTTGGTTATAAAAACTTCTGCTCTTTGTTTATGGTTAAAGTATAACTTAAGGCCAAACTATTTTTTTTTAGTTTTGGATAGAGTGGAGAAGGATTAGAGCTCCTACTAGGTTTACATTGCTGTCTGTGCACTCGTTAAGGAGAATATCCTTCATTATTTGTCTTGTTTACCAATATCATTGATAGCAAAAGTAAAAGAAAATCCCAAATTTTGGGTTGTCCCCAGAAAAGTAATAGATGGAAAATCTTCCAATGGGGACACCAGCATTGGTGACCTGGGGGTCCCTAAGGAATTCCCTTAATTTGCTTGGATTTCCTATCACTTCCTGTTTGGCTATGAGAAGGGAAGTGAATGGAAATCTCTGCAATGGGACACAGATGTTGAAAAATGTTTGACGGGTTATAACCCTTGCTGTATCCAAAAAAAAAAAAGTTTTGCTATAGTTCTACTTTAAGGATGCTTTTTTTATATTATAGATCTAATTGTTTCACCATCAAAACTGATGTTGGAAAAGGCTTCTATTAGTTAGTCACCTATGTAAAGTCCATTCAAATCAACTAGTCCAGCTGGCACTACTCTTTACACAGGTTGAAAATGCTGCTGTCCAAGGGAGGCTACAGATACAATGGAGCAGTGGATGTGGCCACCCTAAGGCTCACCAAACACATTACAATTTCACTGTGCAATCCCCTTTAGATACACCAACAACTATGCATTGCAAAGGCCTTCTTGACTGCATAGAAACTGAATGATGTACTTGAGTAGTTGAGTTTAGTGTTACATGCAGGGATGTATGCCCGGACCTCAGCTAATATCCATTCCCGAACTCAGAAAGTACCACTTGGTAGAGCTTTCAGCCCATCCAGCTGCAGAATATTTCAGTCTGCTGTAGACTCTGCCAGGCTTCAGCCGGTGCTTCCTGTGCACACTAAAATGCTGGGATTGGTCGCAAATGGGTTAAAAACGCTTTGTGTGCAAGTAGCCTATGGGCTGAATTAACACCTGAGCACAGCAATTATTAGCAGGGGGATTGGGGGGGGTAATTAGGGTTGGAGAACCACTGTTTGGCCAGGAAATGAGTGACAAAACTTGTAAAATGCTCATGTGGCACGTTTTTCATGTGTTCCCATTCAAATCTTTGTGGCTAAAAGCACTCCAATCTGCCTAACAGAAGTTTATGTACTTTTTGATCAAAAGGATATTGCTTGGTGAATTTCTTGGAGTTTCAAGCTTCAAACAGCAAATTGTTCAGGTGTCCCCTAACACAACTTGCTTTATTGTCTTATGCATCCTGGGCAATAGTATGAATCTTTAATGCATGCTATCAGTGTCTTCACTGGGAAGAATTGAAAGGAAGGAGTGGCCGATGTCCAAAAGAATGCACTTTTGATGGTAGATTAAGAGGCATTTATTGAGAGTAATGACAAGTACTTGTCGTTACTCTCAATAAATGTCTCCTATTCTACCATCAAAACTGCATTCTTTTGAACATCGGGTGCTCCTTCTTTTCTATAAAGTATATGTGTGGAAACGACCTCAAGGTCATACCAGAAAGGCAGTAGCCCAAACCCTAAGAGGGTTTACTGCCAGTCTCCACCATTGGGCACAACTGACTGGAGGGACATCTCCCTACCCACCTACGTATGACCAGTGACTGATCCAGTCAGTCCAGCGTAGTCTTCAGCACAAACAAGATACTCACTGGGTAGAGTCACTCTGCTTATTAGTCCTAGTTACCATGGTAAAGGGGACAGAAAGTGAGGGCAAATCCCAAATTCTAGTTTTAACAGGACCAGTATGAGTACCTGTGTCAACAGGCTTTTGTTTGTTTCAGACAGGTTTTGCACTGCTATAAAAGTTTATGGGTACGCAAAATCCTCTTGAAGCACGTGAAAAAGTGAACAGGGTCAAAAGTGTCTCAAAATTAGGTCATCGACACAAGCTCAAAGCTCATCAACTCAGGCCCTTTGTGATGTAGTCTTCCAGTGGGGATCCTGGTCTAGTTACAACTTCATAAGAAAAAACAATTAAATTCACTTCACAGAGATGTCCTCTCATGTCCTGTTGTGTCTCAAGACAAGAAGGAAAATAAAATCTTAGGGCTCATTCTTTCGAACAGATAGAAAATATGCAGGATCTTGCTGGTAGAAAGATCTTGTGCATTTTCTGTAAGCAAATAATGTTGATGCAACATTTACATGCATACAGCAGGCAGTGTACAGGGATCCTATGGGTCGCCAATACTGCTCCTGGTTGACATGTCAATAACAACAATGTGTAATCTGATTACACACCAGTGATTACATACTGTTAGATTGAAAAAGTCAATGAGGCCCCCAGTGGTGCATGTGCAGAATTACTAACCAAGGTCATGGGATTGTACATTCTATTATCAACCCACCATGCCATAACAACATACTTAAATTAAAAAGTAAACACATAACAAGGATTGTGGGAATATTAAGGCCACAACCCATTTATTGGGTTTAAATTTACTTTAATTATGAAATAAACTTTAATCTTTAATACCAAACAGAACTGCTGTTAACTATTAACAGACCAACATATTTAGTCACCAAGACTCAGGCTGTAATATCTTACACAAACCACATAACCGGTTATCAACCATTGTCCACCCATAAACTGGGTAAACCCCATTAAGTTTGACTGTGATGAGGGAAAAAATAGAGCAAGGGGAAAGGGGAGCAGTCAAAAGCTCCAAAAGGAAGGCGAAGATAATGCAGAGGTGAGTCCAGGGGACAGATCTGAGGTAACTGCTGATGCTGCCCAGTGACGGGGGGAATATACAGGTGAAGGGTTACACTCATTGGCCAGTTATTTCCCCACCAAAAGATCTAGCAGTATTTTTTTGTTATTCACAAAGTAGATTTTGCTGCATAATTGATAATTAATGATTTGTTAAAAGGAATAACAGGTGTACATTTTATATATGGTATATTCTAGAAGAAAAGAGAAACATAAATAGACAATATCTGACCTAAATAAGTACAAATATTTCCACAAGTACATTGTCTGTGTAGTGTAATAAAAGACAATCATAATAAATATAATAATAGATAATACCTCTAGTTTTAAACCTGGAATACATTCTAGAAAACTCTCTAACCCCTAAAAGAAGGAAGTGTGATATCCAAACAAAAAAGAATAGCGTCAACTCTTTGCACTTGCCTGCCCAAGGGAGATCTCCCCAAACAAACATAGGTCCCAAGAAAGAAGAATGTCTAAAATATAAGCCATAAGGCCAGGGCGTTATACAAGCAAAGGGAATAATATGGTAAGTATCAGCTGTCAGTACAGCCAAATGAACTATAGGGTGCAGGCATAGCAATAAAAATGTAGTAAAGATTAGCTATCAATATGGGACACTACAGTACAAAACAATATAGATAGCTCAAATAGAAGGAAACACAATCATTAATACCCCAAATAATGTTAACAAGGTGCTTTGAATGAAATGGTGTTTTACAGGGCAACAAATACAGAAATAAAGCTTCAAAGCAGCATATGGAATATCCACATGAAGATACCTAAAAAAAATAAAGCGCCTGTAAGTTAATTGTAACATGGAGAGTTCTACATCTGCCAGTACCGATAGATACATATACAAATGGCTTTCTTACCTCACTTGGCATCTATACATAGCAGGGGCGGACTGACTATTTGGAAACTCGGGCACTGCCCGAGGGCACGGGGTCAGTAGGGGGCCCCATAAGATGCCCCTGGTACCTTTTTCATAGGCTTTTTTGAGTTTGGGCAAGGACACAGGGGCCCCATGATCCCCCATTGCCTGGGGGCCCCGTGAGTTGTCAGTCCGCCCCTGATACATAGATTTATATATTATAATTACAATATATAGGCTGTGCTTGCTGGTAAAAATTAGGCTTTATAAAATCCAGTGTCAACATGTATGAGGATGGTACAATTCGGTAGTGGGTGCAGATCCTATCCATGAGGGCGACCAAGATTGAGGAGTCTGAATAAAGAAATAGTGATTTAGTAGTGATATAGTCGCCTTCAGCAAATTAATCTATCTAGTTTCTGTCTGTAGAATAATATGATCAAAGTCACTTCCTCTAGGTGGGGGATGAATATGCTCCAAAGCCATAAATCTAAGAGAATTGGGTTTGTATTGGTGAGCTATAGCAAAATGTCTAGGAATCAATTTTTCAATCATGCTACAACAGATATATGTGATATGATCTTTTATTCTGATTGAATTTTAGACCATACCAATGGTATCACAAAATGTTTAGACTTGAACACCTGTGAGTTGGGGAGAAGAACCCCCCTACTCTCATTAATGTATCAACAATTTTTGCCTTTATTACATTTAACCAATTACAGACTCTGACTAGACATACCCAAAAAAATCTCATCATTGTGCACAGGGTGTGTGTAATAGGTCCAGTCCTTCTGTCCTGCTTCCAAGACCTCCTCTGTCACAGTACTGGGCAATGCAGCTCTGATTAATCAAAGCAGAGTTCACAGAGAAAGTTCTGACAGCTGGAACTGTCAAAGAAAAGCAGTCTGGCAATGTTTATCAACAACATTACTGAAAAGAAACAATGTCTCATATTGTATCTGTTTATTCATCTACAGTTCAAAGGGATGAACTTCCATCTGCAGATAAAGTCTGTGAAAGCAACCTGACAAGTAAAAAAAAGTTTAGTTGTTTTTTTTAATTAACCATTTCCTCCAGAGGATTTATTCCCCCTCCCTGACCAGGCCATTGTTTGCGATATGGCGCTGCGTTACTTTAACTGACAATTGTGCGGTTATGCAACACTGTACATAAATTACATTTATGTAATTTTTTCCCACAAATAGAACTTTCTTTCGGTGGTATTTGATCATCTCTGCGTTTTTAAATTTTTTGCACTATAAACAAAAAAACACAGTCAATTTTGAAATAAAAAACAATATTTTTGACTTTTTGCTATAAAACACATTCAATAAAATATTTAAAAAATCAAATTTCGTCATAAATTTAGGCCAAATTGTATTCTGTTACATGTCTTTGCTAAAAAATCCCAATACGTGTAATATAATTGGTTTACGTTATAGCGTCTAAAAACTACAGTATATATACTGGATTCTTTATTTTTTTATACTAGTAATGGCAATGGGACTGCGACGGGCATTCTGACACTGGTGGGGAACTGACTAATGCCACTGACATCTCCAGTGATGCTAATACAGTGTTCAGTGCTAATAAAAAGCACTGACATTGTGCTAATCACACTGGACAGGAAGGGGTTAACATCTGGGGCGATCAAAGGGTTAACTGTGTGTTGTGCTTACACTGTTTGCTGTTTTACTAGGGAGACATGCTGCTTGAGTGCCAGCTGAGAATCACAGGCTGGGACCCGGTGATTGACATCCACTGCAACCAAAGGCAGTGCAGGTAGGGCTGCGTGCGTGCCCGCCCCCTACCCGGTACTGCAAAATCACGTATATCTGCTATAGGGCCATAGGCAAGTAGTTAAATGTTCCTCTGTTTAAGCCCTTACTAACCCTTAGTTTACTCTAATCAGCCCTAATTAACTCCTTATTCTCCTTCTCCATTCACTTATAATTTTCCTGCTGATTTTGTTTGTTAGTGTCTATTTTATTAACTAATAATATTTAACTTTTTTTTGTTTTTGTTTGTTTAGTTAGTTAATATTTTTACCCCTTTAACATATATTTACAAGTTTCACATTTAAAAAATTGAAAAAAAAAAACTACTTTATTTTGTTTGTAAATAACTTTGCAATGCTTTGTACAAAAATCATAATTTTAGTGTCATTTTAAAACAGGACAAATTACAGAACAAAATGGGACCTTTCTATGTGCAGTAACACTATTTATTTTTAACACTGTTCAGAAAAAGAAAAAATGTGTATTTTGTTAGGTTTTGTACACGTGTAATTGTTTATGGATTGCAAAAAAAAAAAAAAAAAGTGATTGTTGCAAGACAATATTCACAAAAAGAAAGCCTTGTTTGCCCATAAAAAACAATAGTATTACGTTTGTAATGTATTACGTTTTTATCTTAAGTAATGACAAAGTTATTGCTGAATAAACAGGTGCATAGCAAGAATATAAAAATTATTCTGGTCCATAAAGGGTCAACTAATAGGAAGGGCAAAGTGGATAAAGATAACTTTAGGTAAAGAGAAACAAAGATCTTTACAGCCAGAAGAAGAAAAGTGATTCGATATTGTAGTGATTTATTTCTACAGAATGTCAAATGTGATCTGTCATCTATAAATTTGTATATTGTGGGGTCCTCTGTAAGAACGTGCCAGAATTTGCCAAGTACTTATCTAATTTTATCTGATTAATAAACTTAATGTTCTGTTGGATCTTTGCGAGGGTAGTGTCTAGATCCTCTGATTGAAAAAACAGTAAATCATAAGGGCTGTTTTTGGTTTGTTGGTATTCATCTTTAGGAGACTTTCTGCTATATCTCCGTTGCAAGAAATGTGTTTGTGATGATTGTGCCTATCTCTAAAATCAGCCATGTTGATACAATTTCTGTGAATTCACAAGTATTTTCCTTTAGAAATACCTTTACTGTGATGGTGTGGGTGGGCACTATTAAATGTAAGTTCCCTGCTGTAGGTTTTCTGAACAAATCCATTTGGATATATCCAGACATTTAAACAGTTGACAAATTAAATCAAAAGATCCTTAGTCCCAGACCAAAATATCAGTATATCGTCAATGTACCTGCACCATAAGGTAACATGACACGGGTACATGGACAGAGGAAAAGATGAACTGCTCCCATCCCCCAGGTACAGGTTGGCATATGATGGGGCACAGGTACTCCCCATCACAATGCCCTGCACCTGGAGGTAGTAGGAGCCATTGAATAGGAACACATTATGGGTTAAAATGAATTCCAGAACTTCTAGATCAAATACATTGTAATGGTTATAATCAGTGCTCTTTTCTCGTAGAATGACTTTCAAGCCTTGTGTGTGTGGAATGCTAGAGTAAAGAGCCTCCACGTCTATGGAAGCTATAATTGTCTGTTCTGTGACATGAAGTTTGTCTAGTACTGTTAAAAGCTGAATGGTATCCTTGAGATTCAACATGAGGGTGGAGATAGTCATCCACCAATCTACTAGCTTTGTGTGTATGTCCATGCCAGAGATGATTGGTCTGCCTGTTGGATCTTTCATATTTATGTCAGTTTCCGGTAAAGCGTTGAAGGTAAAAGTTACTGGAAATTTAACTTGCAGAAACTCACATGTATTTTTGGAAATTAAGTTGTTGAGAAATGCCATGTCAGTATTGGGTTCAAACTGTCTCTGTAAAATGGAAATATTGGAATGTTTAATTTTATGACATCAATAATGATTTTTCACAATTTTATGACACATAAAGATGTAATGGATTTCAGACATGAAGACTATATTGCTCCCTTAATCAGAGGGTTTGATGATTATACCTTCACGATGCCAAAGTTGATAGAGAGTATGTTGTTGGGCATTGGATAAATTGGAAGATTTTATAGTTGGGGTGATATCCTCAACCTCCTTACAGATAAGATCTAAGAACAGTTTTACGCTGTGATAACTGGAAAATGGAAATTTACGATTTATTTTTGTATTCTCTAGGTAAAGGGGGCATGTTGGTCAACAGTTTGCCTGTTGGTACTGTGTCGATTTCATGGAAGAGGTCATCCAGGTTGTCCCAGACTCCTTCTCTCTCTAATAGGGTTAATGTTTTAAGCCCTACTAAAATTCTGGTGTATAGTTGATTCTGATGACTGTTGTGCCTGTTTTTGTCCCTCATAGAAGGATTTAAAGTTTAATTTACAAGAAAATAACTGTAGATCCTTGATTACATAAAACTGATTTATGTTATTTGATGGGCAAAAATTAAGGGCCAGTTGTAAAAGGTCCTAAAAGGTGGTGGTTGTTAGATGGATAATATTAAAGGGAGCATCTAAGAAATGCGTAGATCTACCTTATAGGACGCACAACGCATTCAGGAAAGACAATTTATGTCTATTGGTTTTTTCACTTTTGACAACTACCTATTCCAAGTAGACCAATAGACTAGTATACAGCTGCGTACAAAACGGAACGCTGTATGCAGTGTTCATTACAACTGTGTGAAGGAACTTATGGGACACAGGCAGCATAACAAAAACTGACCAAGGATTTAATTAGCACATACACTGTCTAAAAATCATGAAATAAGTTCATCTAAAGATATACTTCAAGCAGTATTAAACCTAAACCAAAAATGTAATATATATTACATATATATTGCAGCTTACCAATCCTTAGATGTGGTGGCTGCATTAGTTTTCTTTTCTTTGGCTTTTTTTTAGCTGTTTTCACCTAGTGATCTGACCAGTAACACACCTCATGTATTATACAGACACAGGCTATGGATGATGAAGCATAGGGGGCACCTTTGCACAGCAGCATTGTCAGTCCAGGGAAAGGGAGGAGGAGGGGTCTGGAAGTGTAAGATGTACTAGCAGATTTAGATACACTAACAAATTGAAGCTGAACTCCAGCTCACACTTTATACTCAGTTACAGCTGTTTTTTTTCCTTTTTTGGTAATAAAAGTTTTACAATAGAAATAACAGTTGATCATTGTAAGCACCCCTGGCAGTGATTTGTCTCATCCATGTAAACTGATGCATTCTGCTGGAGAGCTTGAACTTCTGAAAAGCAGACTTGCTGGATGGATCACCAGATGAAAATAGCAGAAAGAAGGCCATCATATCTAAGAATTGGTAAGCTGCAATATGATAAAAGTTTGCCTTCGGGTTTAATAATGCCTAAAGGTACAACCTTTTTTTCAGTATTGGATAGAGTGGAGTGGAATTAGAACACCTGCCACTTTTTATAGCAGTCTGTGTCCCTGTTAGGCCCCATTCATGCGGTCATAAAAAATGAAGTGACAACTGTTTTTTATTTATGGATCTGAATGCAGCTCATTGTTGTCAATGGAGACATTC